ACACACACACTGCGGGTCATCGCGAGGACAGGAAGCCATTCCTGCTGGTCATCTTCAGTTCAGATAGTGGGCCATTGACAGACCTGTCAGCAAGAGAGAGGGTCACATGGAGTGTGTACGAGTGTGTGCATTTGTTTTAAGGTAGTTGTCTATGATTATCTTGGGTCACATCAGAGGATGCCATGAGTCCTTGGCTAAACACACAGTTAGTAGTGAGGACACAGTAATATATTTTCATATGTGTGCGTTATGAAGTGCCAAACAGGAAATAACTATATAAAGTCTGAATATATAAATGTAAATTGTGAAAATATAGAAGTAAATCAGAATATGTTTTTTATAAATCGGAATATATAAATGTAAATCAGAATATATAGTCGTAAGTCTGAATATATAGAAGTAAATCAGAATATATTAGACGGAATATATAAATGTAAATTTTGAATATGTAGTTATAATTCTGAATATATAAACGTAAATCATGAATATATGTATAGAAGTAAATCTGAATATATAGTTAAAAGTCGGAGTAAGAGTTTGAATATATAAATGTAAATTATTTAGTTATTATTCTGACTATATAATTTTAAATCAGAATGTATATTTATAAATCTTGAGTATATACATGCAAATATATATATATATCTATACATACAGTAGTCAACATTTGAAAAAGTTCATCAAAGTTGTCCTAAGAACTAAGCTATCCTAAAAAGAAGGTTTTAGGACAACTTTGATGAAAGGTTTTGATCCACTTCAAATGTCGACTACTGTATATATAGTGAACTATGCATTCAATAATCTTTTAATAACTTAATTTTTTGGGTAAACAATCCCTTTAACAATGAGTGAATTCAATAGATGTGATAGAACAATAGGTGTGTGTGTGTGTGTGTGTGTGTGTGTTTATATTACATCTGAATTTTAAATTTTTAAGATTTATTAAATTCATCAAAAGTGACAGTAAAGACATTTATAATGTTACTCAAGTTTTGTGTGTGTGTGATGCCATTCAAGTTAAAAAAGTCAGAAACCACTAGTGAAAATGCTTCTATTGTTATTTTATTTTATTTTATTGTATAAATTTGCATTCATTACTGTATATAAATTTTGTCATTACAAATTGCATTACTGCAAAAAAGTTTGGGGTGAGGAAGAATGTTTTTTAAAGAAATTAATATTACATTTATTAATACTTTTATTTAAACAGTGCACATTAAATTGATCAGAACTGACAGTAAAGACATTTACATGATCAAATAAATTCAGCTGTATAGCATAAGAGACTTCTTTCAAAAACATTTTTAAAAATATCAAACCCTAATTTAAGTAAAAAGTTAATGTAAACATCAAAACATGAATTGGTAAACTAGAAATGTGCAGAATCTAAAATATTTCTTAATCATTTTACTGTACATTATAATGTTTCTTTGTTTAATATCTAACTAAACGTTTAGTAGTTAAATTTAATTTTAAATCCCAGATTTTCAATGTCATCTATGACCTTTTGACCCCACTGTATATTTGCTACATTTGCATAATACATTAATATTCTCAGTGTCTCTGAACTTCCATGTTCCCCATGTTATATAAGTGAGCTGTCAAGACGCAGTAAGCATAGACTTGCACACACCCTCTCACAGATAACTATTTGCTCCAGTGCTAACAAGTGTCAGCCTTGAGCTCTGCAGCAAGCGGTGACAGGTTTTGTCAAATTATAGGTCAGTCTGACAGTGACAGGTGAAATGGAGAGGAAGGTGTAAATGTGTAATCACCTGCTCTGTTTGTGCCAGACTTCAGAGTCCGCTGCACCACGGTATGCATGTATTCTCTTCTCTTGTCATCTCTGTTCTATAGGCGAAGACCCCAGAGCAGATCGGACAAGGCCAAGCAAGGACAGCAGAGGAAAGTGTGAAAACAGACGGAGACCTAAAAAAGACACAAATATATATATATATTAGGGCTGTCAAAATTAAAGCGTTAATAACACGTTAACGCAAATTCATTTTAATGGCACTAAGTTTATTAACGCGCGATTAACGCAGTGCACATTTTCTGATCGACCCGTGACCTAACCCGTAGTTGGAGAAATGAAGATGCACAGTGTTGCTAACTTGGTGACTTTTTTATTTATAAAATAAATAAAAAAAACCTAGCGACAAATCTTTGGGGTTTGCCCAAACCTTATTTAGTTTCTGAAACTCGCCAGTACTGCTGCACGAGCACGGGGTCTCTTTTCCGCTCCGCACACAACTCTCTCTCTGCATCTGCTCTGTTCAGCGAGCGGCAGAGAAGAGCAGCACTTTCAGTTAAAACAGATATTATGTTGTTTCTCTAATTTTACATGCAAGTAGGCTAGAGCTGAAATCATAGCACAGCTATGGTCTTTATCTTATGTGTAGCCTATTTGATTTTATCAGATGACGGCTCGATTATCAGGATTTTTGTGCAGATTAACATCCTGGAAGGGAGAACTATGTAGTCTTAATTAGGGGTGGGAATCACCAGAGGCCTCACGATACGATATTATCACGATACTTGTGTCACGATACAATATTATTGCGATTTTAAATATATTGCGATATTCTGCAATATTCTGCCGAAATGGAAACCGAAAATTCTGGATGCACTTGGCTGAAAACAGAAACCGAAAATGCTTTGTAATGATTATTTATTATTTTATTAAATAATATAAAGTAATTTTGTAAGATTTTTTAAATTTAACTCAATTTTAATGATACTGAATTTAAAAAAAGCCAAGCCAATAAAATAACCACATTTTTACTGAAAGTAACACAATAAAACTGGACAGAATGTATATTAATATTGGTAACACTTTACAATAAGGTTAATTAGTTAACTACTTTAGTTAATGAAATAAGAATGAACAATAGTTCTTCATCATTTACTAATCTTAGTTCATGTTAATTTCAACATTTACTAATGCATTAGAACTGCATAGAAATTTCCTGTCAGCGTGTTATTTGAGCGGACTTTGCTTTTCAGATGAGCATGAGCG